TTGACAATTCTTTCTACTTCTTTATAATATTTTATGTTAATTCTTACTACTTTACGTCAAGATTTTTCAATAACTAAATTTTACCATATCATTTTATCTTTACTGTTATTTACGTATAAATTAAAATTTATAAGCTTTAAATCACTTTAAACTTAAGAATAAAAATTTAATTGTATAATTTTTTTAAAAATTATATTTATTTGACTTAATTAACTTGTTTTGTTAAATCTCACACACTTACGTCAATATTTTGAAAATGTTTGTTTCACCTTTATAATGTTTTTTGTTAATTCTTATCGCTTTACACCAAGGCTTTTTAAATATGAATTTTCACCTTAATTCTTTTTATTCTCACTATTATTCAAGCATAGATTAAAATTTATAAGTCGTTAAATACTTCAAACTCAAGAATAATAATATAAATATTTAATTTTAAAAAAAATTATATTTATTAGATATAATTGACTTGTTATGTTAAATTTTACACATTTACGTAAATATTTTGAAAATACTTATTTCACCTTTATAATATTTTACATTAGTTCTTATAACTTTATATCAAGGCTTTTTAAATATTAGTTTTCACTGTAATTCTTTTTATCCTTACAATTATTCACGCATAGATTAAAATTTGTAAGCCGTAAAACACTTTAAACTCAAGAATAACAATTTGAATGTTTAATTTTTTCAAAAATTATGTTTATTAAACATAATTACCTTGTTATATTAAATATTACACATTTACATCAATATTTTAAAAATGCTTGTTCCACTTTTATAATGTTTTACGTTAATTCTAATCGTTTTACATTAAGGCTTTTTAAATATTATTTTTCACTGTAATTCTTTTTATCCTTACTATTATTCATGCATAGATTAAAATTAGTAAACCGTAAAAACTTTAAACTTCAGAATAACAATTTAAATATTTAATTTTTTAAAATAATATTTATTTGACATAATTAACTTGTTATATTAAATCTCACATATTTACATCAATACTTTAACAATCATTGTTGCATCTTTATAATATTTTACGTTAATTCTTATAGTTTTATGTCATGACTTTTCAACTAATCATTTTAATCATAATTCTTTTTATCTTTACTATTATTCACGCATACATTAAAATTTTTCAACGATAAAACACTTTAAATTCAAAAATAAAAATTTAAATATTTAATTTTTCTGAAAATTATGCTTCTTTCATATAATTGATATTTTACATTAAATCTTATACATTTACGTCAATATTTTAACAATGCTTATTCCACATTTATAATGTTTTACGTTAATTTTTACTATTTTACGTTAAAATTTTCAATGACTAAATTTTAATATAATTCTTTATATCCTTACTATTATTCTTGCATAAATCAAAAATTGTAAACTGTCAAATACTTTAAACTCAAGAATAATAATTTAAATGTTTCATTTTTCAAAAAATTATATTTATTTGATAAATTTTAAATTGTTATTCTTTAGTTTAAAGTGTTTTACGGCTTACAAATTTTAATCTATGCAACAATAATAGTAAAGATACAAAGAATTATATTGAAATTTAGTAATTCAAAAATTTTGACGTAAAGTGATAAGAATTAACATAAAATATTATAAAAGGTGGAATAAGCATTATCAAAATATTAATGTAAATATGTGAGATTTAATATAACATGTCAATCATGTCAAATAAACATAATTTTTAGAGAAATTAAGCATTTAAATTGTTATTCTTGAGTTTAAAATGTTTATAGACTTACAAATTATAATCTATGCAAGAATAATAGTAAGCATATAAATAGTTATATTGAAATTTAGTAGGTGAAAAACTGTGATGTAAAATGGTAAAACATTATACAGGTAGAACAAGTATTGCTAAAATATTAATGTAAATGTATGAGATTTAATGTAACAAGTCAATTATATCAAAGAAACACATTTTTTAGAAAAATTAAACATTTAAATTTTTATTTTTGAGTTGAAAGTGTTTTACTGCTGATAAATTTTAATGTATGCGTGAATAATAGTAAAGATAAAAAAATTATAATGAAAATTATCAGTTGAAAAGTTATGACGTAAAACTATAATAATTAATGTA